TTTAAAATTTAATGGATTTGCTAATCAAGTCAATGATTTCATTTTGAATATCTTTTGTTAGATGGTGCACAGAATTTGTTTTTTTTTCTCTCAACAGATGTTTTTCCATAACTAGATCAAATTCAGCCAAAAGTTTTAAAATTTTTAGAAACTTCCCTTTATTATCTTGATAGACTTTTTCACAAGAGCCTCTGAGTAGCAGATTTTGCCTAGCCATCATAATAGTTAAGGAAATTAATCTTCTCATTACAACGTCTAAATGATCTATATCTTTAATTTAGTTTTTATCAAAAATTTTATCAATTAAAGTTGCTTTTTAGAATCTCTTTTTCAGATCCAACCACTTGCTGTAGCAGTCAAAATAATCAAGACTTTTTTAATGTCTTTTTAAAATTTGTGAAATATAGCGCCAATCATTACCACCATTTTGAGTCAACATAATAGGATTTGAACAAATAAGTTTACAACAAAAACTAAAAACTTAGCAGCAGTTTCAGTCAATCTTTCAATTGTTTGAATAGTTTTATTTGTTTTAGTAGATTCAGCTGATTTGCTTACATTTCCAGAATCAAACAGATCTTGAGTTATTGGACTTTCTTATGATGAGTTTTTAATAGATATTTTTCTAAAGATGATTGATTTGATTTTAATTGTTCTTCTTTTTGTTCTTTTTTTTCTTTTTAAAATCAAAACTGAAATCCTTCTGAAAGCAGTTTTTGATGATAAAGATCAGCCACTAGGTGTTGAATTGTAAATAACAAGAAATAAATTTCTTGTCTTTATAAAAAAATTGCAGGGTAGGATATTTTAATAATTTGAATTTTGATTTGATTCCTTACTGCAGACTCTGAACCTTAAAAGTACATTTAAAAACTATATTTTACATATTTCATTAATACGAATTTGGTGTTCCAGATTGAACATCAACATAAAACAAAATCCAAGCATTCGTATGTTTATACTCATGTCAAATCATGATGCTTTTTAAAAAGTGGCAATGATTGGAGGCCGGGAGCAAATAAGCTCTAAAACTTTATCCCCCTGCCTCAAATGTGAGAGCAACAACTTGATGAAATAATTTTTTTGCTATTCATAACTAAATTTATATTCATCGAAAAATTTTAAGTATTGTTTTACAATTTTGAAGCGTTCAAAAATTATAACCATATAAAATTTGTAACCCCCTCAAATTGGAGGAAATTATTATTTTTTTATTTGATTAAGGTGCTCCAAGAAGTCCTTACGGTCTTATCACAGAGCAAAAAATGCTAGATCCTTCACTGATCTGTGGTTTGCAAACTTTTAAGTTAAATGCTCTTCTGTGGTGCTCTGTGATGCGACCAATTGCAAATGAAAAAAAATTATGGGATAGACTACTTCATAACTTTGTCTAAAAGGGTTTCAAAAACGCAATTTATATAATAAAAAGAGTTTGATGAGGGCCTATAATCTAATTTTGGCTGGATTTCAACATGAGGCTATATACCATTTGATTCTGTGCTTGGCCACTAATATTATCAAAAAAAATAATAATAATAATTAAATAGAATAATAAAAGAAATGAAAAAATTAAAATAAATAAAAAAAGAGATTATAAAAATTTTATATACAGATTCTATATACAGCACTCTATATAAAGAATTGCCATTTTTAGTATTTATGAACAAAAAATAAAATCCTTTATAAATAATTTTCTTTATCCTGTTTTTTTTTATGTATCTTATCACCACATTTAACGCATTTATATACAATCATATGCATGTTGTTACATTATTCTTGTTTACTTTAAAAAATTATAAATAACAATGCTAGTCACTATTACTTTAGTGGTTTATTATTAAATTTTATAAAAACAGTGTTGATAATTCATAGACAACAAATCAAAAAATAAACTTCCAAATCTAGTAAACTATTTATTTTTGAAGCTTATTTCAAATGATTGTTTACTGTATTTATCTACTTAATATGTAATTGTTGTTTATTATCAGACAATATAAATGAAAAAATTAAACTTTTTTTGTATTTTCTCACTAAATACAAATTTTCTTTTGTTAAATCATGTCATAAAATCAAAGTTTAGGCTCAATGAAGTCATTTTTTCACAGTCTTTAGATGTGACTAATTGAAATGAAGTCTAAATACCATGTTACAGCAGATCATAACCAATCAAAATGATGTAAGAACTCAAATAAAAGCAGATACTTCACTTGATCGTAGCCATTAGGCTTGGAAGCAAATCAAATCATGTCACTTTTTTAATCTGACTAGCAAGTCATTTGGAGTACCACAAGGCTTGGCACTCTACTACACAACTCTATATATTTCAAATCAATGATTTGTCATATGAAATTGCCAACCATGTTAGGTGCTACAGAGATGATAACAAGATCATTAGCTTCATTAAGTTCGCAGACAGTGCACTCAGCATAACTACCCTAAAAAAGCATTTTAGCGAGAAGCAATATTTGTAGAAAAAACTGTAAGATTTATGAAAAACCAGTTACTGAGGCATTTGCCTAAAACATAAAATTTATTGATTTTTAAAGACACAATTGTTGTTTAAAGTCAACATTGTTTATAAAACTAAATTAAATTTTTGAAGAAAATTATGTTCAAAGATTTAAATTTATAATAAAAAAAATTCTATAACATAAATAAAAACAATATGTATAATACACTTTTATTATATAAATTAAATGTGTTTAATTAAACAACCATTAGAAATAATAAGTTAATTAACTTAAAACTGTTCCATGTTATGATGAAAAGCAATGTTTATTCATGAAATATGAAAAAGCTTCATTCAGGCTTTCCTTTATACTCCATACTTAGAAAATATTTTTATATTTTTTTATATTACTATTTAAAATGGCAACAAAACAGCAACAAGTGCGTGATACAATTTTGCATGCTCAAGTAAAATTTCCTAATTAGCCTCTCAAATCGATTATAAAAACTGTTGAATGTTCTAAAAGTACTGTGAACTTTAAATCAGTATTTGACACTTACGGCAATAAATAAAAGTGTGAAAGGCGCAACAATTTGAACATTAATAAATAACCAAAGATAAATGTTTTGCCAAAAATATGGGCGAATCCTATCATTTCAGAGTGAAATTTGGCTTTAAAATGCAAAACTAGCAGACAAATGGTCTGGACTATCAAGAAAAAGCATAAAGTCCTTCAAGATGTAAAAAATTCCAGATTACAATGCTGAAGAAAATTTAGTGGCAAAAAGTCGTGCATGAAAAATATACAAATTATTGTCTAGAAAAAAAAAGTATAATCATGTATGATAAAACTTATGTAAAATTAAATTTCAAAACAATTTCATGACATCATTTTTATATGGGAGTTTCCAGTAAAAAGTAAAAGGCTAAATTTTAATATTTATTTCTTAAAACTCAAAAAACTTCTCCAAAAAAATATGATTTGGCAAGCGAGATGTCAATGTAGATTGAAAACACAAAGTTTTGTCACTAATTGCACAATAAAAAGTGAAATTTATAAAAGAGTGCCTTAAAAAGTGATTATTAAAAAGTACCTTAAAAAGTGATTATCCTGAACTTCATCCAATTAGGCAATATTAGGCGATTATTAAAGTCAAATTATGTAAGAAGTTTAGGCAAGCAAAAATAAGTACTGGTCACAAAGTATGGATCTCACCTAGTGCTAAATCTTATGACTCCCATTATGAGAAAAATTTATTGTACTGAAATTTTTTTTTCTATATATATATTTTTGTTCTAGACTTAATAAGCATTCAATTAAAAAAGAATCAACTTTGTAGCTTGTTCCAATCTTTTTTAATTCAAGATATAAAAAGTGTCAGTTTTACTTGACCGAATATTTAAAAGAAACAAATATCCTAACAGAAAATTTTATTATGAAGATAAACTTTAATTTCTTAGAAGATGAAAAAAAGATTTTGATAAATGTTATGTTCTGAAAGTAAATTTAATCACTGTTTTAAATGACAAGGTAAAACATTTAGGTTGATGAAAAAAAGCAACTGAAACAGCATAAGGAACCATTAGTAATCTGATAAAAAAGTAAAAAAATGTTTGAATTTGCATAGACAAGACAACAACACTAAGCATACGTCAAAGAAAGTAAAAGTGTTTTTTATCCTTGATTAGCCTACTCAAAGTTTAGATTTCATTGCAATTGAACACCAATGGGCAATTTTGGATCAAAGATGTGGCAATTTCAAAAAAAAACAAAGAGAAAATAATCATGCTCCTAATAGCTTGGACTTAAATCAATCCAGATACGGCAAAATAATTAGTTAAACAAAGGCAAAATCGACTTGCAGAAGTCTTAAACGCTAAAGATGGTCAAAAAATTTATTTACTTGGAGAAATGTTTAATAATTAAAAAGAAAAATTTAATAATTTGGTTTGCACACTTATTTAAAGTTAAAAAAATGCATAATTTGAATGCATCATTGAGGTTTTAGCACATAAATGTAATTATTTTAATTTTTAAGTTATGAATTACTTTAGCTTTTAAGTTATGAATTTTTGATTAAATTTGCATTTATTTAAAAAAAACATGATTAATTTATAACAATCATTAATTTTTTATATTAACTCATTTTTCTTCTGAAATTTCTTGTCAAAGTTTACTTGTTTTTTTTTTTTAATTTTGTTCAGATAATTATCTCTCTTACTGTATAAGATGTGTAATGGCTGGCGCAGATGAATTTACTTGTAATCAAAACTGATATGTATATTTGTTATATTTTCTTATAAAATATTATTTATTTTGATTTTCTCTTAAAATCTAATTATTTTTCTCTTAAAATCTATATTTTGCCAAATATTGTCAAACATACTAAATACAAAAGAATAGAGTCTATCCTTTAAAGAAGGAATGATAAAAACAGCTTTAAAAAAACTTAATGTTTATAAACTTTTGATTTTAATAAACTTGCACTTTTGATAAATAGATTTTATATAAAATAATTTACAATAATGCAATAAAGTATTATAGACTTACCAAAAATAGAAAACAAAAATAAAGAATCTTCACAAGTTTGTTTTAAAGGATTCAGGTTAACAAGAAACTTTAAGGAACTATTTAGATTTTTATTGGTTAAACCACAAATCATTGATAAACAACTCTTCAGCTTTTCATTAGTCATAATCTCTTCACTACTTAAACAATTATATGCATATATAGATGCACAAAACTCCATTATTGTCAAATGTGCAAATTGATAAATATATTCACCTAGACTTGTTTCAATCCTTTCAATAAATCCAAAAAAAGTTTCTTCATTTTTATCAAAGTCAATGATAAAGGTTTGAATGTCTTCTTTGGAAAAAATGACTTTATTTTCAACAAACAATTGATACGCAATTTTACAAATATTTAAAATATATTCTTTATTGGAATTGTTTTTCATAAATTGAAAAATCGATTCATTGTTTTTGATAATGTGTTTTTGCAAAAAATGTAAAAAAATATTTGCATACAAGTCTGTCATTGTTAAAAAAGAATTTTTGTATAAACTTTTTGAATTACTAATAATCCTACACATGAAAGATAAAAAAAATGGAACAGATGACATTGATTTTGCATATGCAGATTCCTTCAAAGTTGCTTTCACAACATCTTTTTTTTCCTCTAAAACATTATTTTCTATATAGTTATTTATTCCGCCTTCATTAAATCCCATAATTTGAATGTTTATCTTTTCACAATCCTCTGTAGATATACTTTGATACTGATCAATTGCATGAACTCTGCCAGCAACTACATACTTATATTTTCGAATTTCTGTTAAAACATTAACAATTGGATAGTTACAACTCGAACTGCAATTTATTAACTCATTTAGATATTTAAACTCATCTAATCCATCAATTATAAACAGCGTAGAATGAGTACTAATATCAAAATCATTTATAATATCTTTGTAAAAAACATTTAGTAATTCATGAATATTAGAAATATTTTGATATTGATTAAGCCTTCTGCATTCCAAATAAAACACAAGTTTAACATTTTTCCAAATTAGACCATTTGACCAATCAAGCAAACATTTTCTAAGCAACCATGTTTTCCCAATACCAGCTATTCCAGATATTATTGTTACAGATTTATCTTTCATAAATATTTCACTATATGGAATTGGTGTATAACTCAATTGCTTTTGAAGAAATTTTTTTCGTTCACTTAATACAGCATCTGTTTGAGCATTGACTGCATCAACAATACATAGATCAACGAATTTATGCATTAAATTGACATTTGCAGGTGATTTTAGTGGTACTTGAACTTCATTTATTTTCACATAACTTGAAAGATATAAACTTTTGAGTGCTGTGCATATCTCTGATATATCTAAAAACAATAACTCATTATAATCATCAAATCATCATTATCTTTATCATCATCATCATCATCATCATCATCATCATCATCATCATCATCATCATCATCATCATCATCATCATCATCATTATCATCATCATCATCATCATCATCATCACCATCATCATCATTATCTTCATCATTATCATCATCATCATCATCATCATCATCATCATCATTATCTTCATCATTATCATCAGCATCATCATCATCATCATCATCATCATCATCATCATCATCATCATCATTATCATCATCATAATCATTATTATCAAATGTAAAAGGTCAAAATTGAATATAAAAATTTTGTTTTTTTGATCATAATCTAGAGATTCAAGTCTAAATAAAAATTAAAAAAAAAAAAGTTTAGAAAAATTTGTTTTCTTTAAAAAAAAATGTCTTTTATTTTAAATATTTCATTATGTCTAAAAAACCTACGATTTAGTAATACTAAACCATATACAGACTAATACATATAAAACCATATACAAACTATACAGACACTTGATATTTTGCTAATACAGAAAGTTCTACTTCCATACTACGCTATACATTACCATGAAGAACTGGTTACCAAGGGCTGTTTTAGACTCTGTAGATGAATAAACTCCAGCAAGCACTATTATCAAGCATGAAATTTACAAAGTAGTGAATAGATTACTTATACAGGCCTTAAATTAAATCCAATTATTTGACTTGTTGTTTGCTTCTGACATATTAAATCGTTTGACTTTTTAGTTAAAGAACAGTTCTCTTAAACTCTAAAAATATCTGTGTCATGGTTTCAATAACTTTATTTATAAAAATAATAACCAAACCTTCTTCTTTTATCATTTTGATAAATGCATTAAAAAAAAGTTAATATCTGGATCATTGGAAGTAAAAATTCCTGTTGTAAAAGGTTAGCTTCTGAATTCTCTGTAAAAAATCTGAGGGTATTTTTAAACTTATAAATAAACATCAAGAACATTGTGATTTTAATAGATTCTGTGAAAGTAAACTCCATCATATGACTTTGTAAAGTCAAATAATCTTCTAAAAGTTTTTAAAAAGTTTTAAATTTTTTTCCAGTAAAAGTATGTTCATGTTGCTAGATCAAAATATGTAACATGTGGCAAACCCTATGTTACATGTTTAAGAACAAGATTTTTTTGTAGTTTTTTTTTTTTATAGTTGATAAACGTTTTTAACAAAGTAAATTGGTTAGAACATTAACACTAACGCATGTTTTTATTAATATTTAAATACTAATAGCTTATTAGTATTTAAATATTTATTAAAATTCTAATAAGCTGAGTATTTAAATTCTCAAAACAGCCTGTGCCAAGAAACTAACCTTCTATGCCAAATCTAATTTTTTAGTAACACATTATACTTGCCTAAGCTAAAGCAATTTTTATAATAAATTTATATTAACCACTGCATATAATTAGAGGTATATATAATCACTACTAATACAAACTGCATAATTTATACTAGGGGTATAAATTATGTAATGCAATGTCCATAAATTACACATGAAATTTTTAACTTTGACCCCCTCTTTCCTTGCTTTTTCTTTGTAATAAGTCCCAAACAAGTGAACGAAAAGCCAGAGCGTAATGTAATTTATAGATAAACCTTTAACCACTATAAATTATAAGGAGAGAAGGGTCTGAACAGGTTTCATGCCATTGACATTTAACATTAAACCAACAACAAAAATTTAAATTAAACCATTAAATTTAAACTTAAACCAACAACAACAACTGAATTAGTATAATTGGAAAATTATATATTGAAATAATTTATATTGGTCTGAATTATTTTGAAATAATTATTTATATTGGTCTGAAATCTTCTTGTGCTGAGAAATAATCTGAACTTTTTGGTTGCTTAGAACAAGCGGTCAATTTTAAACCTGATCTCTCTTCTGTAGCAGCCTAAGGCTACCAGTGGCTTATGGATTTAAATTCTAGACTTCCACAATTTTTGTTAGACAAAAAAACTCATTTATTTACTGCAAAAAAATATTGCAATATTGTTAGCATTCCTATTTTCATGAATAACAACCCATTTACTCTCAGACTAAATCTAAAAGCACATTGTAAATGTAATTAGACCTGCTTTTTCTGCCAAGCTTGAGCCACTCTCCATTGTTGAAAGGTTGAAAGAAAAAATTTCTTTCTTTTTTCTACAAATAAAATCATGATTAATGCTCAAACAAGCTATCATCTCTATAACAATAAACCAAAACTCATTCTTGTTTGGCTTTGTATTCAACAAGTAGCATCCTTTTACTGTATCTGTCCTGCTAAAAAAGGTTTATTAATCCAGTTTTTTTCCTTGAACATCAAAAAAACCTTATAACTCTTACTCATCTTCATGTTTTCCTTTTTTATACAACCTACAACTTTTTAAGTCTTCAGTTACATGTTTTCTGTATTTTAAAGAAACTTTTAACTTAATAGTGGTTGTTTGCTATCTTGTTGGAAATTAACTGAGTTTAAAAATATATAAACGTATGCCAGTATTACATACATAAAACGAAATTACGTACATAAAACGTAATCATAAAATTATAATTTATTAAGTCCTATAATTTTTTTTTTCTAGCCCCAGCTATCAACCTTTGCTAAATCTTATAATTTTGCCGGGACCGAGTTTGCAACTGTTCAATGACACAACAGCTCAATACTCTTGCTCTATCTATGAATGAATCAAGTTGACTTGCTGTGTCTATGAATGAATCAAGTTGACTTGCTGTGTCTATGAATGAATCAAGTTCTCTTTAAAATATAAACTATGCCTAAAGTAACCCAAAATATTAAACATAAAAAATCATCCCCACCACCTAACTGTTTCAATAAATCTTTAATTGTGGTCATCACACTGATTGGCATGACTCTAACACCACTAACAATCTTGCTGGCACAAAAGCCCATAACTTAAATTTTTGCTTTAAACCATATATCTTATAAAATGAAGTTACCATTATAGTATTTGTTTATATATCTGAAAAATATATCTTTAATCTAAAAATATATCTTCAAGTTCAAATTTTCTAAAAAAAATATTTTTTGTAAACAAAAGAACTCAAAACTCACAAAAGTAAAAAACAATGTATAGTTCTAAACAATCTTCTATTACAAGCAATAACAATTTTCATTTAAGGAACATTAAAATTTTATTAACAAACTGGCTTCAAAAAAGCTACGTTTTTTTTTAACAATAGTTTGTCATTTTATTTATTCATCAAATTATTTATGGTTCAGTTATTTAACATTATAAAAATACTTTTCAACACAATTTACTGTTTAAGGAGATAAACTGTCGATTGATAAAAATTATCAATTAACTTTAATTATATTCTCAAAAACTATCCATATTATGATTTTACCATATATGCAGGTGGTAGAATCAACTTATTAATTACTGAAGTAATTATTTCTAAATTAGCTACTTCTACACAGTCATTCCGTATAAATGAGCAAAACCGTCCTGGGTTATTATCTCAGATTTTTTTGAAATATACACTACTTATAGGTTTTATGGAAAAAAGAAATTTCTCTAAAATTTTCATTACCTTTAAGCATTATAAAATTTTGGAAATTAGAAAAATTTATGTCTTAGCCTATTGTTTTTTTCAGAAAAGTCTCATTTTCAAGCCCTTATAAATAAAAACTAATTATCTTAAATACTTAAAAAATCTATCTAATGGCAATAATCTACCTCAACTTAAGAAAAAAAAATTTTTCTCAAGTTTTTATACTAGCCCATCTTGGACTTCAAAGTTATAAAAAAAAAAACTGTAAATAAAAATTTTAATATTAACAAAGCAAATGTGAAAATTATGTTATTTTGTGAGAACATAGGTGGTAGTCATTATTAATGATAAGTTTTGTAACATTAGATTCAAAATTATAGAAGTTAGATTCCTCTAAAAAAGCCTCCAGTCTTAAAATGTTAAAATGAGGTCTATTTATGAATTAGAAATTCTAGGTGTTCAGTAAATTTAACACTTGAAATTTTTAGGAATCTTAAAAACTAGAAGAAATACAGAAAAAAAATAATTTTGGGATGTTTTGTAGCATCTGAGATATCTGAACTTAAACTTTCTATAAAAATAGGATCTTGGAAATCAAAATCAGCCATTTTGAATTTGTTATATAACCAATATATCTAAAACAAATTAACATTCAAACCTAACAATTCTTTTTATTCTTTTTGAATTAAATTGTTTTAAAATTAAATATGTAGGTGGTGTTAAAAAAATAAGTAGTAGACAAGAAATCATTTTATGATGGTGTTGGACAAACAGTTGGACAATTTTAGGAGAGTGTAAAAAAATTACTCGAAATAAGATATCATAAGCACTTAAAACAAATGTCAAGAATTTTTATCAGAGTGAAGAATATTCTGGATTTGTCTTGCTAAGAAAGAATTTGTTTCAGTTAAAATTGAGGGTCAAAAACAACATATTCAAAAGAGATTATTTGTAAATCTAAAAAAGCTTCATTTAGAATTTTCAAAGTATTGCCAGCTTCGTTCGAAATGATTTGTCACAGTAGATAGTGCATCTGGTGTGCATTTAGTTTGTATTTGTCAAGTACAAAATTCAAAGTTGATTTCCAGTAACATTGAATATAAAGAACTTTTAATAAAAACAGCATGTGACATTGAGAATCGTAGCTGTATGCTTCATAGTTGTGATACCTGCCTTAATGTAGAGAACTTAAAACAGAATATAAATGATATCTTCAATCAACATGGTTTTGTATATGAATATATAGTGCTGTACAAACAGTGGTTAAAAAAGGAGAACGCTATTACTTTAGTAACTTTAGAACTTCTGTTAGAGGAGTTTCTTGAAGAAATTGTTTCTACAATTGAAAACTTGCAATCACACCATTTTATTCCAAAGCCACAGTTGTTACTCCTTCAAATTTTGAAAAAAAAATTCAACAAAAACCAAATTATTATTTGGTTTT